TATATTTAGATTTGAAAGAAATGCTGAGCTTCTCTTCCAAGGTAGCCACGGCAGTGTTCTCTCTGCCCACATTCAAGCCACTCATCTTGACTTCCGGGCACAAACTTCTTGGAGCTTTGTGGGTGATGTGTACTTGGTTCAGGGTGCTATAACAAATGCCACTGAACAAGATGGCTTAATAAAACAGATATATTTCATCCAGTTCAGGAGGAAGATGTCCAAGATTGGGGGACCAGCAGCATCAGCTTTGAGGTGCTACCACTTTTCCCAACTAGGCTGTCACATGGCCTTTCTTTGGGGCATGAGTGAAGAACAAGAGATGGACCTTAAGGATCTATCTTTCAGCAAGGCCACAAATTCCATCGTGTGGTCATCACCTTGATGACCTAATTACCTCCCCTCCTTAAACCATGGGTTTGGTGGCTAAGGCTTCAGTTTATGGATTTGGGGGTGACATAAACATTCACATGTTGGTGTGTGCCTGTAATCCCAGTGCTTGGGTGGCTGAGGGAGAAGAATTGTTTCAAACTGGAGCCCAACCTCAACTACATAATGAATTCAGAGCGAGCAGGAACTACATAGTGAAATCCTTTCTCAAAAAAATCTCAAAGCCAAAACAACAACAGAAACATAAAGAACAATCCCTAACCCATTCAGTTCCTGACACCAGCTGGAAAGCCCTGGCTCCGCTGACTGCTTGGTGAAAGGTCCTCTCCAGCCAGCCCTGCACAGTCGCTCCTCACAGGATGCAAGTGATAGATAACCTTAAGAGCCCCAGAAATATCCCGTGGTAGCACTTTGCCCTCAGTTTTCTTTTCTACATTAGATCAGGAATCAGTTGGTGTTGTCTGTGAAGGACCAGATCAGACACTTTAGGGTTTGCACTCCATGTGGCCTCCCTTTCAGACGTAAATGAAGGCACATGGCTGTGTCCACTTTCACAGGCCCTGAAGGAGTCCAACAGTCCACAGGTCAGATTTGGCTCGGAGACTAGTCTGTGGTCCTCCACATTAGAAGACAAGTGTCTTGGGGGCAGGGAATCTTAAGTTTGTTTTGTGCCTCTGGTACTCAGCACTGTGTCAGCCATATTGGCATGAGATAGATGTAGGCTGAGTAAATATTTGAGTCTATCCATGCTTTACGCTAACTTGCACCTGCTTTCTCAGTATTCTTCTCGAATTTGAATTGGAGAGCAGATGAATTTCCCAGAAGGAGACTTTAAGCTGAGTCCAGATTTGTGGTCTCTTAGGGAAGCACAATCGGCAGTCTCTGCCTCTGTCATCCTGGTGTCCCTGCTTCCTACGCTAGCAGTGTCTTCACTGTACTTGTGTACTTAGCGCCCGGCGAGGAATTGGAGTTTATGTTTGCTTTTACATGGAATATGGCCTTAGTTTGAGAAAATTATATGTGTCTGGCAAGGAATTTTAGATAAAACACAAGCAAAAAGCAAAATCACTTCTGAGCACTATTTCTGCTAAATAGCCTTCATGCTTACATGTTCAATAACAGTACTCATTATGAAGAATCATAAGGATTTTATTTTCAAAAGGCCTCCTCCCTAACATTCCAGTTAAGATCAAGGGTAAAAAGGTAAACTAGGAGGGTTTTTGTTTTCCTCTCTGGTTTCTTCAAGTTATGGAGACAACAGACAGAATCCAGAAAGCTATTTAAGAACCAAGTCGTTATTCAGACCTCTACTCTAATCACATTTTTTATAGTAAGGCTATGTGATTATTAGTCATGCTTACCTACCTGTAAAATGCTGACCTGACTAATGCATGTAGGAGCTGAGGATAATAAAGGTTTTGACATCTTGTTCAAGGTCATGAATAAATTTACAATCTCATCAACTCATGCTCATTATTATGCAGTGACTTTATCTGGAATGAAATTTTACTCAGAGAAGTATTTCAGTAGCTCAAGTAAACAGAAACCAAAGCATAAGGTGAAATTATCAAAACTTGCAAACTTGCCTTTAGAAGTCATTTTTAAATATACAGATAATGAAACCTGATAAATTTATTTTAGATATTTTAATGTCACACTGGGTAAGCCTTTTGCAAATGAACTTCATGTACATAAATTTCATTAATCAGAAAATATCTCTAGTACTTATAAGATGAAAAGTTGATTTCTAGTGGCAGGGAAAATTAGAAGAAATGAAACAGGACCTTCGAAGGATTATGCAAATTTATTTCTGGAGACATGATGTAGTCAGACGAGAGACAATATAAATATTGGTAACAAGGGGCTGGGGAGATAGCTCAGTAGAATAAGCGCTTACCTGGCAAGCGCAAGGGACTGAGTTCAATCCCTGGTTCTGCCAAAAAAATTTTAAAAAATTAAAAATTAGTAACATGCTAAGAACACACACACACACACACACACACACACACACACACACTCGGCAGACCTTTGGTTTTATTCCTATAGCTTACATTCATTGCCACTCTCCTTTCTTGGCTTCTGAACTACACAGCCTCTGTCTGTGACTTATCACCCCTTGTTCAAAACTCTGCATACAGCACATCATCAAAACAATTTTCCCCACAAGGAGTCTTCATCATATCACTGCTCTTCTCTATGGTTTATGTATCAATTGTTATTTCTGCAGCACTAGTGTTTGTCTGCAGTCCGACTCAAGTGTTTCCTAATTTAATTCCTGTCCTTTTTTAGGTTGGTCTTTCAGAACCTATAACGTAGATTCTGTAGACCACTGCTAAGAGTATGAGTGTGGTATGGTGATATGTCTCTCTGCAGAGCAAAGCCTTAAAAACGCAGGCATGTTTGGATCACCTAGAAGAAGTTCTCCTTACGATATATATATGGAAATACTTCATTGTCACTCTTTTTAAAAATAAATTAACTAGCTTTCTTTGTACATTGAAAGGAGTTGTACCTATACTGTAAAATGCCTAGGAACAGTTAAGACTGAAGACAAATACAAAAATATTTCTATATATATTATTTTTAATAAGCATTTAAAATCTATCATCTATGCAAGGTGTACCTTTTTTAAAAAACGTCAGTTCTTAGACTGGGCGTGATGGTGCATGGCTGTGATTCTAGAGCCACAGAGGCCGAGGCAGCAGATCTGTCATAGGTTGGAGAATGGTCTAGACTCCACAGTGAATGCAGGGGCAGCTTGATTTACATAGTGAGACCCTGTATCAAAAAGCAGTAAAAACCTTTGTTGTTGTTTCTTTTATTTTGTCCCTGCGATTTCTAATAGCTTTCTGTTGTTTATGAAATTAATCCAGCTTGTCCTCCAGCAGCCTTTGTCAGCTGAACTCACACACCATGTAGCATCCCTACAGAATCTCATGCATTTTGGTCACATTTGTCTACTTTGCCCCCCCCCCCCCCGCACTCATCCCTCGCTGTGGTTCTGTTTGTGTCTACCTCACCCAGCTACCCGTAGCCAACCGGTCTATAGACTCCATTTCTCCCGTTTCCAAGGAATAATTCTGTGATCGCCCCCGTTTCGCATATTTGCACAACCCAGCTTTATGCTTTGTGTCAGACAAACAGGTGTTCTGGAAAAGAGCCCGGAGATATCAGAAGCACTACGCTGTGGCTGCAGGGTCCCTTCTGTAGCTTTGTTTTTGATCAAGTATCATTTTTAAAGGATTTTTCGAATGGAGCCATGCATGCACCAGTTCTTGTTGCTGTAGTCTTTAGCTATTTGAGTGTTTTTCACCACCAAGATTCTGACCAAGAGAGAAGTAGTATTTTAGTTACTTAGTTTCAACCAGTTTAGGTGAGGGGAAATTAGGATTAAAAGTGAGACTTACCCTGGAGTTAATATTCCCCTTGTTTTCTGGTTTCCCTTTTGTTCTGTGTATTCCCTCTGGCTGCTTCCCTCCTTAGCTCGATCCACTCCCACTCTGGAGCTGTAAGGAAGAACAAATTGCACTTATTAATTGTTTTGTGTTTGGCTCGCAGAACTGTGGCCTGTGCCCATTCTGTGCTCTTGCCCAAACCCCATGACCCTTTCTCTACCCTCAAACCCTCTCAGAATGATATCTGCATTGGCTTTTCTTAATGTGCTAATTAAAGCATTTTCCATTAAATTTGGTGATATATATATATATATATATATATATATATATATATATATGATTACGCAGAGAGACAACAAATAAGATTGTCGTATGCCTATCACACAGATCCAATTGACAAGGTATCTACTGTGCTCAATTTTTAAAACCCAAGTTTATTTCCCTCCTGTAGTGCTTTCCTTCAGGTTGAACAGGAGGCTTTCTCCCTTTCTCCTGTGCTGAGCAAATGCTTTACGATGGAGCTACATCCACCAGGCATTTATCTTGGTACATTGTTCCATTACATACTATAATAGCTATCATTTTTGAAGTTCTCATGAACTTCATTGTTCTATGGCATTCAGTTTCAACACTTACTTGTGTATTATCTAAGATAGTGGTGTGTGAGTAGAAATTAAAATTAATAAAAAAAATTAATAAAACTTCTATGTGGGCACTTTGTCATTAAGTTTTAACTTGCTAAACAAGCTGTATGTAGAGATGATTGTTTAATTCGTATCTCTATTATATTAAATTCCTATATAGAATGAATTTTTGCCTCTCTACTTTTTATAAATGTGCTTGTATGACTTATTAGTAACTTTTGGATGTTTACTAGGCAGTATTGTTTCCTGTGAACCACTTCCCCCATCCCAATAGTATTCCCTTCATACATGGTTCTTGACTTAGTGAAGACTTTCAGTACCTACTTAGGTAGCTCCATTCCTTGACAAATACGAGTGGTAGCAGCCTTCCTAAGAGGTGGTCATCCTGGAATAAAACTATAACCTGGAAGCATACCCAACTTTTTAACAAACTAGGAAGGAATCATGATGTTAGCTTCAAATATGGGTAAAAGGTTAATCGTTTTCATACCACTCCCGAATATGTCATTTCTTTTGCAGGCTGCTGTTCACAGTTGAACTTCTTTAATTAATTTTTTCTCTCTGCTTTCTTCAGCTTTAGTTAACGTGAAGCTCTGGGCCATCGATCGACAATGTTTTCAAACAATAATGATGAGGACTGGACTCATCAAGCATACCGAATACATGGAATTTTTAAAAAGGTAAGAACAGTTTCCTTTGTCCCTTTGAGTGCATTGATTGTCCTTTGCTTAAACGCAGAAAAACAGAGAGCTTTTGCCTTTAACTCAGTTTTAACAGTGTTTCAGTCTTGTAGGCAAGACTGGGGCAAGTCTCGTCTCTTGCGCGGGTTTTCAGGATACGCGTCTGAGTCAGAACTTGGCAGTTTCCCCATGTGTACCAAACGCTCAGCGCTCTTTCCAGAAAGCATAGATCAGAGAAACAAGCCAGAATTTGCATGAATAGAAAAAGATACGGAGTTCACTTTGCCCGTTAGTCCATTAATAGATATTTAGCTTTCCCCCTCCAGGCAGACCACACTGTGGGGCTAGAAATTCCCTTGTGAGAGTTTCCATGCAAAGGCCAAGTGACTAACCTGGAAGGAGCTATGAAAAGCAGCCAATTACCCTTAATTCTGAATTTAATTTTCCAAATTGAATTGATTTTATCTTATAGTTCTGGAGTACCAAAACCTTTTCATTCTTTATAAATATTTTTTTACATTTATTTAGTGTGTGTGTGTGTGTGTGTGTGTGTGTGTGTGTGTGTGTCCAGCTCAGCCCACCTGGGGGCGGGGCTGGCTGGCATGTGGTTCTGGGGGATCGAACCGCGGTCCCTGTGCTTTGCCAAGCTTGTTCTAAGTAGGTGCTTTAGACCACTGAGCCATCTCTCCAGCCCCCCTTTCCTTTCTTTAAATCATATATTATCATAATTCAGTTTAGGATGAGGATCAGAATACAAAGTCAGCTCTTTATTTCTTAGGAATACATTGATAGTCATTGAAATGATTTTCTTTGTCTCTGTTTATTTGAAAAGAAATACAATATTTTATCATTTAAAATAGTATTGGTGAGCTGGGGAGATAGCTTGGTGGTCTAAGTGCCTGCCTGGCAAGTGCAAGGACCCAGGTTCGACTCACGGTACCACATGCCATGCTGGCCCTGGAACCCTGGTTCTCGGTGCATAGTGCTGGCCACTGAAACTGGATGTGGAAGTGCATGCCTGTAATCCCAACGGGGGAGAGGCTAAGGCAGGACGATCACTGTGGGTCCGAACTGGGTAGCGAGACCCTGTATTGAAAGAATGAAAATTTTAAAAAATAGTATTGACAATTTTTGTGACTTCGAAAAGTAGTTATTTTATACCAGTTTTCTTCTGAGAACAGAAACACTAAGGATTAATGTCCATATTATGTTGTGTAAAGGGAGCATATCACTAAGATTTCTTTTTTTTTCTTTTCAAAGTTTTATTGATAAACATATAGCAATGAGACAGTTTCAAATCAAATTGAAAGTACAGTTTCAACAAATAATACACTGCATATATTCTTCTTAGTGGTTAATTGCTGTACAAGATGCAGACTTGTGATCCTACTTACAAACACCATTAAAAAAAATCATTCTATTCATTAAGAGAATGCAACTATATATCTATCCCAACCACTCTGAATACACAGATACAAAATGGACATTCATAGTTATACCCCAATTTTTTTTTAAGTTCCGTTGTTGAATATTATAGGTGTGTAAACTCAGCAAAATATTCTAAAAGAGTACAGAAGCCCATAATAGCATTGGGTCTTCTGTTTAATTGGCAATGTCAGAAATTATTGACGTGAGTCCCCCACAGCTCAACATAACAACATGGCTTTACTTCCTATATTTCATCTTCATACTTTTCTACTGGATGGTTAAGACCAAGGTAAAGCAGAACCTATGCAACAAGAGTTGTAGCTTTTTGGTTTGAGAAGGTCAGTGAAATGCCCTCAGGATTTATCCTGAGATCCTGTACCTCAGATTGTAGAACCTTGGTCAGTGCAGCCATGTGGATGAGTCACGGCCATTGCTTGGCCAATGTGCTCTCTGTGAAAGCCTGAGAGAGTGTCTTCTCCTCATGTGACTCTCCTTAGGCACACTCCATGTCATCGATCAATTTCCTCTTTGGCCCCATAACCTTCTTGATCAGAAAATCTGGGACACTACTGAGGTACATGACATTACAGTACAAGTTCTCATATGTCCTGAGTCTTAATTGACCTTAGAAGGGTAGGGCCAAAATATTGGCTTTCCTTGTAGCCTTCCTTTTTCTCTAATTTTGGTCTGCAAACTTAGGTTGTTAACCATCCAGAAGACAAGCTTATTGTTATTATCAAACAAGATTTCTTTTTTGAGAGCTGGAATATTAAACCTCTTCTTGTTTTATATCCTCATGCTGTGTGAAATGGTTAAAATGGAGGCAGCATTGCCAGACCCATGTTTTGCTTTAGCTCACGTCTAGCAGATACTTACTGAGTCTTCGTAAGATGGAACTTTAATATTGTTTGTTTGGATACTTTTAATGGTTAATTAATTTCACTTCTGCTTCATCTTTCATGCATTTTTCATTTCCATACATTAAATCTTTTTGTTATATTTCTTCTGAAGTAGAATTCTGCAGGGGCTGGGGAGATGGCTCAGTAGAATAAGTGCTTGCCTGGCAAGCTCAAGGCCTGAGTTCAATCCCCGGTTCTGCCAAAAAAATAAATAAATAAAATAAGAAAAAAAAGAATTCTAATTTGATATCTAATAATAATATATTGCTCTGTCAGTGGCTGCTTTTCCCTCTCAATTTGTATAATTATTTGACTATATGATGCACATCTGTATATATATGTGTGTGTGCTGACAAAAATGTATGTACGTGTGTGTCTGTCTGTGTCTTGTGAGAAACCTGTTGGTTTAGAGGAGTATTCATTTTAAGCCTTAAAGTTCAGAAGATATTGATTTCTTCTGATGAAGCCAGATAAAGCTCCCAACTGGTACCAATAAAATTGTTCCTCATGGGTAAATTACCCATCTGACTTAGCGCAGCATTGCATGCAGTAATGTTGACTTTAGCTTCCATAAATTGGTTATGTCAAGGAAATGGACCAAACATTAAAGCTATATTGAATGACTTGAACAACAACTCTAATAGAACTGTTCCAGGAAATGCCTGTGTCTCATGCAGTACGTGTGTGTGCGCGCGAGCGTACATGTGTGCGTGTGTGTGAACTCACTCTGGCTATGCTCTTTTGGAAGGATACAATTGTCAAAACTGTTGTCGTATAATATATTCTGGCAATTCAAATGTTATTCAGAGTTGGCTGTCCCTAATAAGTGGACATTTTTGTCGGTCAATTTAGAAAAACAAAGCAAGTAGAGTTTAACTGGGTGGGTAGAAAAGAGGTGGGCAGTGACTTTAATATCACTTTCATCTGGCCACTCAATAAAACATCAGGTTTACGAGCACAGGAGTAGGCTGAGTCCACGGAGGTGACAAGTTGGCTATGACTGTGCGCTTTAATCTTTCTCAATTATGACTGTGACTAACTAGTTCTCTCTTTACAACCCTTCAGTGATTCATTGTTCCTATTGAATTAGAGCCTCAATGGTTGGACATTCAAGGGCTTCCTACAGCCAGGTCCAGCCCGCTCTTCCAGCTTGATTTCTTCTCTCCCCACACGAGCCCAGTGATTCCACCTACCCATGGATTTCCTGAGCTTTCCTCCTCTATCTCTATGTTCACTATTTTTGTCTTTTTGAGCCAACCCAAAGGTACTACTGCCCCAGACACTGACCTTCTTCTACTGATATTTCATCTCTACTACAGGTTGTATTGTACACTTTGTTTATAATTTGGTTGCTAAGCTTATTTCTATTTCTAAACTGTATGCTTTTTAGAACTGGGGTTACTTTTTGCAATGGTATTCTTCTTTGGCATAAAATTCACTGTGTATAGGGAGGCAGTTTATCCAACAGTAAGTATGGAACCAGTGCATAATTTTCAGGGATAATTGCAAAATGACAGGGTAGACTCCCCTGGACAACAATTTAAGAAGCTCACAGTGATAACACACCATTAACTAAACATGATCATTTTCTGAGTATGGCAGGAGTGCATGCTATTTAACAAGTCATGTATCCCTGAAGCTGAAAGAATGACAAATATTCATTCTTTCTTCATGTTCCTAGGTTTTTTGTTGTTTTTGTTTGGTTCTATTTATTTTATAAGGGTGTTAAGAGATGCCATAATAATACCTGATATAAACAACATAAGATATTGTAAAAAAAAAACCCAGAAGATCAAATTAAGTGTTTTTATTATAATTTCAGGGACATTTTATCTGTTTGTTGATTTTTCTAAAACAGACTTCTTGCTTTTATGTCATATATTAGTTTTACAAGGTCATGGCTTCTTGTGTTGAAAAAGTTACCAAGCATAACATTGTAAAATATAAACTTAATACTTCAGCATTCTTTATAGAAATCTGTTTGCTAAATAAAATTTTCATCTGAATTTTTCTCCTAGAGACATCACATATTTTATACTTTGTGAAGGTTCTAAAGAGATAAAGCAAATACGACATACTCAAAAGAAATGCTAGCCCACAATAATGCAAATCAACACAATTTTCTCAGAGATGATCTCTACTGTACATCCTAAATGCTTCTAAGTGAAGGAGTTTAAGAACAGCAACAGCAAAATAAAAATGATCTTATATCACAGGTCTGCCTGTCCTATCCTTCCTTCTCAGTTTTTGAAATAAACACCTATATGCAATGTTAGAAAAAGGAACATTTTGGGTAACTACACATCCTGCTTCTAGGCAAAAAGTTTCCTGATTTTTGAAGTTGAGTTTTATTTTGATTACCATGTGTTTGCCCATTTTGTAACTACCATTCATGTGGGCTGGCTGCTGCTACTAAATGCCACATCACGCTGGGATTCTGGCTCTTCAATCCTGTTTAGTCATTTCTCTTTTGTGCCTGTGTGTTACATTCCCTGATGCAAACACAGATGTTTCTAGGCAAAGGGGGGGGAGAGAGAGAGAGAGAGAGAGAGAGAGAGAGAGAGAGAGA